CTTATATTTAAGACCAAAACTAACTCAAGAATTGGGTCCTATATTAAGGACCGGAGGAGTACCATTTAAGAATTATCATAATCTATATTTTTATTCCAGCCTACTAAACTTTTTTATACATGCATGCAACCTGATAATAAAGAGAAATTAAAAAGTCGCGATTAATATTAAAATACAAGATCCGTACATGCAAACATTTTTAGATCACCCATTCCTTTCCAATATATAATATATAAATATAATTAAAGTATGGAGGCAGATCATTTAATTTAACTTCTATACAACTCAAAAGTCTGGAGTAACTAACTGCTCGTCGGTTTTATAGATTATATATTTGATAAAGGTGACATTGCATTGGACAATCTCGTTATTGGTATGGGGACTGAGCCAAAAAGGCATGGTCACCCTAAATGGCCCATACATGATACTGCCTCTCATAATTAATTTAATATAAGAGTTAATTTTATTTTTAATTTGATTTTAAATATAAAATTTTAATATATTTTATCTCTCATATTTATCTCTTTTTCTCAAAATAGTCATTACAGTAGTTGCACATGTTAAATATTTTATCAAATAACACTTGATTAGTAAGAGTATATTATGAAAGATAACATTTATTTATTATTAATAATTAATTTAACTAATTTTTTTAATTTACTTAAATTAATCTATTTAAATTAGTCAATTAGTTATTATATTAAAGACCAACATTATATTATATATATGGATTAAGTAAAATGTACAAAATAACAAATATGAGAAATAAAGTAATTTCATATTTGTTATTAAAATCACTTTTCTAACAATAATTCTTATATTTAAGACTGAATGACCTATTATGTATTCATGGTGCTTGTCTGGTGCGGGAAATTTTAGGTCGAAGGTCGTATATTATGAACACATGATTGTTTTGTGGAACCCATATTGCCTGTGTTGGAAGGTTACGTTTCTCATGCTCTTTAGAAAAATGCCAACCCCCCCTTTTTTTTTGTCTTAATCCTTAAATAATTAATGCATAATTAGATTGGGGTTGGTGGGATGTACAATCAATCATTTTAAATTAGAAATTTAGAACCGTTAAGTAACCAAGTTCTTGATATGAACTACTTCTAATTCTTAATATAAAACCTAATTAGCTATCTTGAAAAAAATTAAAAAATATTAGTTAAATTAGTTATTTGTGATAAATAAGTATTATTTTTTCTAAAATACTTTTACTAATCATACCTAGCTATAATTGTTAAAAAATTTAATACTCCTTCGGTCCTTAATATAGGGCCTAATTGTTGAGTTGGTTTTAGTTCTGAATATAAGACCAATTTCTCATATTTATCAATTTTTTCTAAATTATCCCTATAAATACTCCCCAACCATAATCAAGTAGAAGAGTAAGATGTGGTATTAAAAAAAATGATTATGGTGTTTTAGGAAAAATGTGTCACATTTCTTATTACTAACTAACTTACTTAACTTTTTTATTCTAATTAAATTAGTTAAATAGATCTTATATTAAGGATCGGAAGAGTATAAGCAACTACTAGAAAGATTATTTTAAAAAGAAAATAAATAAATATAATAAACAAAATAGATTAAAATCTTATATATAGAATTAAATTAAAATTTAAATAAATTCTTATATTGAAAATAAAAAATAGTATACCGTATATATACACGGCCCAATGATCCCAACCCAAAAAGTAACCCTGAATTTCTTTAGCGGTATATATTAGTTTAATCATACAAACCTACCGGCGCCACAAATTAAAATAGGGAAAATCCCAAAAAAGGTCCTTGAAATATGGGAAATGTCAGATTGGGCCCTTAAATTTCGAAAATGACAGAATGGGTCATTGACCCAATCTGTCATTTGTGAAATTCAGGCGAATTGACAATTTTGCCCTCATTTATTGATTCACTACAATGATTCAAGGAATCACTATAAGAGTTTAGGTGTTACCTAGATTCGTATAGCGAATAACTATTCACTTTTTCATAATCAGGTGTCTTGTTATTAACTACAACTAATATTGTAATCACTAGAACAATGTAAGCATTACCTAGATTTGTGTAAAGAATAACTACTCATTTTTTCATAGTCAGGTATCTTATTATTGTCAGGTACCTTATTATTAATTACAACGAATCTTGTAATCACTAGAACAGTATAAGCGTTACCTAGATTTGTTTAGAGAATAACTACTCACTTTTGCTCAGGGGTAAAAATGTCAATTCGCCTGAATTTCACAAATGACAGATTGGGTCAATGACCCATTCTGTCATTTTCGAAATTTAAGGGCCCAATCTGGGATTTGATATATTCCAAGGGTTTTTTCTGGGATTTTCCCATTAAAATATCATATTTAAATATCTTCTTTCAGGTCACTAAAACCTTAGTTATCGTTAGATCCGATCGATAAAAAGATCTTTCTGACTAATGCGTGATTCGCTGGGGGCTCGCGCATATGCAGTAAAAGATATGGTCCACGCGTGCCCACACGCGCGCGCGCATATATGTGTGTGTGTGTGTGTTTATTACCCCCTTCCATCCCATATACCAGATTACCAGTAACATTCTCTCAAGCAGCATTTTTTGGGGTCAAAATTTTAAACTATTTTTTAATTTGCGCCCACCGTTATTGCTACATCTTTTCGATTCATTCTCGTTTACTCATTATCTTCACAAATATATTTGGAAAAAAATATATTCTTAATATATTTATTATTTTTAATTAATTTTAACAAGTATTTCAAGCCATGTGATTCTGGTTAATTGTTGCTTTTATATGTATAAGCCCGGAACGAGTAGTCTTTTTAAAACATGTAAAAATATTACAAGAACTTCCACGGATCATGCAAGTTGAGCATGTGCTGACTTTTAAGTTTTTGTGCTGAATGTGACGTACTTTGGAGTAATGTTTATGGAGCATTAAAAATGAATGACAAGAATTGGGGTTGCAATTGAACAAAATTATTAAAAAAGTACTCATCCGGTCCTAAATATAAGACCCATTTAACTAATTTGATTAGATTAAAAAAGTTAGGTAAGTTAGTTAACAATAAGAAATGTGACATGGTTTTCCTAAAATACCATAATCATCTTTCTTAATACCCTTTCTTCCTCTTCTACTTGATTATGGTTGAGGGAGTATCCATAGGGGTAATTTAGAGAAAATTGATAAATATGAGAAATGGGTCTTATATTTAGGACCAAAACTAACTCAACAATTGGGTCCTATATTAAGGACCGGAGGAGTATTTAATATAAGTAATAATTTGTTATATGGCTATTGTATAATCTTTTCAACATATTGATGGAACACAACAGAATTTTTATGTTGCCTTCTTAAAGAAATACAACTTTAAAGGGGATTATTTTGATTCAGCTATCTCTTTAAATTTTTGATTTTGCTAATAACTTATTATATAGGACTAGGCAAACCTATAGAGGTAAAATTGAAAAATATCACATCCCCTCATGATATTTTCTAATCTCACGTAAATGAATTTGTTTAATTCTATGTAATAATCAATTTTATATGCTAAACATTCTTTTCATAAATTTTATCAATTTCAATCTCTGTATTTTATTTTCAACACTTTGTACTAAATGGGACCTAAAATTTTTGAGGTTTATGAGTATCTGAGGGTCGTCACTATGACAGGCAATGCTAAACCTAGCTGCTTGAATTATAATTGCACAGAAATGGATGGATAATTTGTAATTAATTATCCCAGATCTATACTATAGTTTTATTCAAAGTGCGATTTGATAATAAAGCTGACCCACTCCATATATAGCTGCATTATCAAAGGATCTTCAAATAATCAAACACAAACATTCGCAGAGAACTCGTTAACGTTGGCAGAGGAGGCAGAGAGAGAGAGAGAGAGGACTGGTTAACTAATCCACGGCTTATGAATAAGTTCGGATTATGTACCAAACCAATAAATAATATCCAACACATTTTGTAAATCCTTTTTAAGTTCTAATCATCAATTGCCATGATCGCCTCGAATGCAACCACCGCACATCTCAACGCTGCTATTTACAATTTGTTTGTAAAACAAATTCAAAGTTCAAAAGTCTTTCTTTTTTTTTTAAAAAAAAAATCAAACCTACTTGCATGCCCAATTGCCATAGTTTGATATCAACTAATGGCAATTAATTACTAGCTAGAGAACAAGTGCATGCAAAGTTGATTTAGGAGTATTTGGATGAAAATTAAATTATGGTTTTAAACGTGATTTTGCAGTATATAAAGTAAATATGTGAAAGAGTTTATCCCAATTTATAAAAAAATGCTTTTAAAAAACACTTCTCTTAATTTCCAAACACCCTCTTAGTATTTTAAAAGCGAAACCTCACTGCACTTCTTGTTAACAGAACTAGAAACAGCCGTGTTACTTTTTGTTTGAAAATATGCCATTATAAATACGAATTAATATCATTTTTATTTTTTAAGATTTAATGTTATTTTGGTTATGATTTCTAAAACTTGAAATTACTCAATTAGTGATTTTAGTCCTGAAATTTGATTTTATTTTGGTTTTAAATTTTAAAATTTTGTTTCAGGGACAAAAACACTTTTTTAGAAATAGAGAATCTTTAGGTAGACTAAAAAAAAGTTAAATTTTAATGACTACAGATGATATTAACTATTTTCAATATTATCCTTTTACTGCGCCTCTTTTTTGGAAATAAAATTTACTCATAATCCCATAAAAAAATGAGGCTTAAATGCATATCAGTAGTCAGTACCATCCAGAATGAAAAAGTTCTACTCCATCATGCATGGAGTTGGGCTCCACATCTGTGAGTTTCATTTTTTATTACTGAGTTTTACTTGGGCCCAATAGAGCGTTGGGCTATAATGCCAGCTTTAATAAAGTCATAAAATCTAATTGAATCCTGTTATTGTATTAAAAAAAAAAAAACTTGAATTCTGTTAATCCAAAACGAAGTCTACTTTTTTTTTTTTTTGAGCAGGCAAAACAAAGTCTAATTGAATCCGACGCGATAGCCTGAGACTGCGAGCAGGAGGGGCGGCTGGTGAGGAAGACGCGAGTAACGAAAGGGCTGTGACCGACGAAACCCACCCATTCTGACGGTGAAGAAGACTTGTGCGACGGAAGGTGTGCATTCTCTTAAATTTTTTGTTCAAGAACAAACAAAGACACAAAATTCACGCCCTTATAATGTTAATAGCTTCCAGAACTTTACAAACCATGTGATCTTAGTTCGGATTTGTCATCAGCAATCCAGCTCTGTGGCCGCCCTAATGCTTTTATTTACGTCAATTACTGATGGTCATCAAATTACCCATTAAAAATCCTCGAAACGGGATGAAAATGCTAATCTTTCTTCATTTTCTCTCTCTCTTCAAAGTCATGGTCTATTATTCTTGAAAACCGATTTGTTTTTGCATAGTTGTGATTTGTGGAGCTATGACTATGATCACGCGTGGGTGGGTTTTTTCATATACATCTCGAGGCAGCGTTTCCTGTGTATGCTCACTTTTGTTTAACAATTCTCTCTGTCCTGATGATCTTGGTTTTGTAATTCCTAGATCGCTACGTACTGTATATAATCAGTGATGCTGGGTTTTGCATTATTTGTGAACTCTTATGCCGTTTTTCTTTATAAAGCATAATATTTGGCTATTATTGGTTACTTAAATCCCCTAGCCTGCGTGAGCATACCCAAATCCAAACCAAACTCCAAGTTCTGTACAAAATAAAAGTTATAAGGAAAAAAATTGAGGAACCATGGATATTTTTCCAATTGAAGGGGAGGAAGCCTTGAAGAGGAAGAATGTTGAGGCTGGTTTCAAAGAGAATTTTGGGAGTGTCACGGGAGGTGCCATCGCCAACACTCCAAGTTCTGCCTCAATTCTCCCGTGAGAGTGTTGTTGATCACTACGACAACCCACGGACTATGGGATCCTTCAACAAGAATGACCCCATGGTCAGAATGGGCTTGGCTAGGGAACCCTCTGACATGAAACTCCATATTAAGGGTGATGAAATAACCAGAAAGATCGTTGATGCTCGCTTCAAGACCCTTGGCCGTGGTTTGGGCATTGCCTCTTCTTCTGCGGGTATGTAGTCCTATAAAGCCCCTTTTATCCCCTTGCCTTCTTCTTCTTGCTTTTTGTGTGCGTGTGCGTGTGTGTAGGGGCGTTGAAATTTGAACAAATTACCTTTTACGTGTTTTCATCTTTTTGGAGATTCTCAATTTCTATTTTTATCTTTATGGAAGGCAAATTTATTTGTGTGCTTGTTTCAGTTTCCCAATATGGAAGATGAACAAACATGAGTTGGATTTTTGGAATATGATTGGATTGATGGGCTAGGCTAAGCTTATGTTTGGAAACCTATTGGAAATGAGCTGGCGCCACTTTCTAAACAAAACTACTCTAACATTACGTTGGTCAATTGACCAAGACTAGAGGGCTTGCAGACACACACTAAAGTCTTTTTCCTTTCCTTTTGTTTTTCTGAGTTGAACATTTTCAACTGACCAACTTAGAGAGTGCTGCGGAATAGATAATGCGATGTTAACACTAGACACTTGCATATCATCATCAATAAATCTGATGAGTTTGGGAGTGTCCTTTCTTCTCTTGTCTTTTCATTTTTGACCCTTTTGTTTGGCTCGGCTGTGCAAGCATGTGGTTGATCCTGTATATATCTATTTGCTTTAGATTATTAACATCATAGGCAGCTTATGGACTTTTCACTTATTTTGGCAATAGCTGCTTAGCATATGGAGGAGTAATGTGCTGGGATGTTGACCTGAATTGCTATTAAATGAAACCTTAATAGCTGCCGTATTTGTTTTATTCACTTTTTGGTGTAATAGTTTGCTCAATGGTACCTTACCCTCATTAAATAAGTTATTAACTTTTTTATCTCTCACTTTTCAGCTAATGAATGGGTAAAAGGGAAGCAAATGGAGGGAGTTTCATCCACAAAAAACATGTAAGTATCCATAAGTCTAGTGAGCATATGATACTAATGTATCTTTTTTGCCTGAGTGACTTTTTCTCTTTGAAATCAGCTGCTCGTCAATTCTGGACGTGTTGGTTGATGGTTATGCTTTCATGGTTCTTGATTCTGGTCTGCTTTCCTGAGTTTTTGAAATGAGATGACCTGAATAATTGATAACGGATATTCTGCAGGGAAATTGCAAAGCATCTGTCATTTCGTCCATTTAAGCTTCACTGCGGCATGTTTGCTGACGATGCCATCAAAGCAGGTTTCAAAAGCTATGAAGCTAAGCGAGCCATGGCAACAGCCACCGAGGCAACATCTGGAGAGACAGGTGCCACTCCAGTCACGGCGCCTATGAAAAATACACTTCGCCCGATATCTCCTCATCTTTCTATTTACAAGCCACAGTCCTCTTCCATGTCTTCAATTTTTAATAGGATCTCTGGGGCTTCCCTGGCAGCTATGGTTTTGGGTTTCTATCTTCTATGTCTGAAAATGCCTCTGATTTGCTTCACCTATGCTGAGTTCTACCAATTTTTCCATTTTTCAACAAATTTCAGCGTAATCTTTGCCCAGATCGCTGCCGTTGCCATGTCCTATCATCTGTATGATGGGATCAGGAGATTGCTGCATTAGCTCCGTCCTATTATCTGTATGCTGTGGTTAATGATGGAGAAAACGGCCAATGTTAAGGTTTTCTAATGTTGTCAAGTTTAAGATCAGTGGGTTGATGTTCGTTTGAGCATCTTAACGGCTCAGTCTGAGCTTTATGTAATAAAGATGCTATTGCCTGAGACAGTATCATCTATGTAACGAATGTAATCCCTTGAACAGTGCTTATTTGGTTTTCTTGCTTTTATACTTCTTTATTCTGACAATTCTTTTCTCTTCTTTTAGACACAACACATTGATTGTTATTTTTTAAATGTTTGTTTGCCTAATTATTTTGGCTTTCTCTTGCTTTTTATTTAACTTTTCTGTTCATTTTTTTAAGTTATTGATTCACCAAAGAAAATGTACTTCATAGTTCGTGGGGGAGTGTTATTGAGGCTCCGTAAGGAAGACAATGAGACTTCGGGTTTATATAATTAAGGATCGTGACTATTTTAGGATCAACAGTTATTTTTTGCGATTAGCCAAGAAAAATTAAACTGAACATGCCTGAAAATTAACGGGATTACTGCCCTTCCCCCCCCGTCCTTGCTATGGAACATGGTCAACATAGTGTTACCAACAAGTGTTGGTTTAAGTAGAAGGCACTTGAACACTTTAAACATCATGTCCTGGGTTCAATTCTTGAGACGGTGTGTATGAAAAAAACACTGCTAGGAGAGATTCTTGCTACGGTGCCTGACAGTATCTCAAAAGATTAGTCTCTTACCGTTCGGGTGGAAAGATATTTTGGACAACTCAAAAAAAAACTCAAAAAAAAAAACTCAACACAAGTGAGATCTTATATTTAGAATTAGAAGTTTTTTGAGTGCTCTCTCTTGGAACTTGTGCTGCGTTTCTGAGCTTTGAGATGGACGACCCCGGCGTTCGGAAAACGCCTCCGGATAGGACCTCAGATAAAAAGGATCAAACAGATCGGGCCAAAAAATCAAAGAAGGAAGTGAAAGAAGATGCTCTTATGTCGGACAGAATGATTGATGCAGAGGAAGCCACTGAAGAAACCAGCGGGACTAAGACTCTTTGCTGGGCTTCAAAGGGGAAGATTTTAATGGGGTGGCACACGGGAACTCATACATGGAGGAAGACCCCTTGCTGTCAGACCTTATTGATCAAGAATGGACCATCCCTGAACCGTCAGAGGAACTCAAAAATCTGATGAAAATATACCCTGTGGTCCTGATCACTCCAGAGGAATACAATGAATGGTGCAGACCATGGAATAGATCGCTTATAATAACTGTTCTGGGGGCAAAGTTTAATGTCTACAGGTTGAAGGAAAGCCTGACCAAAGCATGGAAATTCGACAACTTTGAACTGATCGATTTACCAAACAACTACTATGTTGTGCGTTTTAAAAACCCAGAAATGTGGGGAGACCAATATAAAAGAGTCCTCTTTGAAGGTCCCTGGATTGTGGGGCAACATTCGGTGCTAGTGCAAAGGTGGTCACCTTATTTTGACCCCTTTAACAATCCATTAGGAAGGGTGGCAACATGGGTCAGAATCCCACACATCCCGTTGTTATGCTATACAAAGAACTTCATTTGGAGACTGGGTGACATGATCGGAAAGACCCTGAAGGTTGACATGAATACCATAGCTAACCTGGAAGATAAAGAAGCAAGGGTAGAAAGAGGAAGGTATGCGAGAATATGCGTTGAAATTGACTTACAGAAGAAGTTGATCCCCAGAATAATATCGGCATCAGCGCTGTTCAATGTGGAATATGAAGGATTGGGTCTCATATGTTTTCAATGTGGAAGATATGGGCATAGAAAAGAGGTGTGTCCATGGAAGAAATCAGCCGAAAAAGTAGAGAGTCAACAAGGAGGAAGCCCCTCATCACCCCCACCAAAGATGTCGCCAGCGAAATCTCTACCGGCTGAGGAAGATCAGTTTGGGCCATAGATGATGGTACAATGTACGGGCAGGACACGTGGACCCAGGTTTGAAAATAGAAAAGACAGACATGAGGGAAGAAGAGACTATGTCAGAACTGATCGAAAGAATGGCGGTAAAGAAGGACAGACACGCTTTGAGGTTCTCACTGATATGGGAAAGGATTCAGATGACGGTTTTGATGAGGAGGAAGAGAGGAAAAGGGAGGCGCTGGCACATAGGTCGGCTGACAGGGAGAGGGCTGTAGTGCCTATGGAAGGAAGAGTTGGGGTGCCGAGAAATAAGGCGGAAACTTCAAAAAATTCAAATAAAGGCAAGACAAAGGAGTTTGTGGTGGGAAAAAAAGTAATGATATACCAAGGGAAGGAAAATACAAAGCCCAACGAAGAAGTAAACCCAAGACAAGCCCAAAGTAATGTGGACGGGAAACCAAAGGTTGAAGGACAACTAGGTCAACCAAAGAACCCAATAGGTAAGAAGACCATGGGCCGTAGAGCCCATAATGTGGTGGTAGGAAATCTGGACCTGAAGGAGTTCGAATACTTGAAGCAGGAAAGCCTGTTGAACACTGGAAATGGCGCTATGCAAGGAACAGAAAGGGAAGAAGAGACGCAAGCAACAAATACTATCGTGATTTAAGAAAAGGAAAAAACAAGAGATCAGGAGATGGGAAAGCACTGGGAAAATCCTCCACAACCACCCTCGGTAACTGATGGGAGAACAAAGAGTTATAGGGACTCTTTATGCAGAGCCGAAGTTGGGACGAAGCAAGAAGATAAACCCCCAGACCTGTAAGGGCCCTATCCCTCTCCTTTTCCTCTGTCTTTTTCAAATGATTGTTGCATCATGGAATTGCCAGGGAGCAGGTTCGAAAACATTCCCGCGACTAATAAATGAAGTGGTAAAAAAGTACAGAATTAATATTATGGGAATTATGGAACCTCGCATTAGTGGAGCTAGAGCAGATAAAGTAGTAAAGAAGATGGGTTTCAGTAATTGGATAAGAGTGGAGTCTACGGGCTATGCAGGAGGAATTTGGGTACTCTGGAAAGACTGGGAAGTTTCAATTGAGTATGTATGCTCGAACACCCAGTTACTTCATTGCAAAATAACTAGCAAAACTTCGGCAGAAACTATGCTAGCTACGTTCGTCTATGGAGACACAAACCCTTTGAGGAGAAGGGAGCTGTGGAATTCCTTAATGAACATAGCAAGTTCAATTGAGTCTGATTGGATGGTTCTAGGGGATTTCAACACTTTCCTCACCGTGGAGGACAAGGTAGGGGGAACACGATCGGACAATAGCATGATGATATCTTTTAGATCCTGTATAGATGATTGTAATCTCCTAGAAATACCAGTGGTGGGCGATAGATTCACCTGGGAAAGAAATGATGTAAAGGAAAGACTTGACTGGGCCTTTGGAAACTTTAACTGGGAAATAAACCACCCTCACATGAAGGCTCATCATAAACTACGATTTAAGTCGGACCACAGAATGATAGTAGTGTCTGACGGTGGTGAAAATAGAAACAACAGAGGCAATAGAGTTTTCAAATATCAAGCTGCTTGGTGTCTAGAACAAGACTTCCTAGATATTGTTGCAGCTTCGTGGGAAAACAAAAACTGGCTCCAAGGATGTGAGTCTTTCAAAAAATCAGCCATGGAGTGGAATGAAAAACTAGTAGGAAGTGTGGCAGCCAAAAAGAAGAAGTTGTTAAGAAGACTGGAAGGCATTGACAAGACAAGACAGAGTAACAGATCAAATGGACTCCAAAGACTAGAAAAAAAAATATGGGAAGATTACAGCAAATTAGCAGCTCAAGAAGAATTAATATGGTTCCAAAAGTCTCGAAGCAAGTGGCTAAAGTGGGGAGACAAAAATACGAGCTTCTTTCACGCCACAACAGTAATGAGGAAGAAGAGAAGCTCCATAGAAGCCTTGCAGGATTCGAATGGGAGCTGGACCTATGATCAAGAAACCATGAAAGGAATGGCTTTTAACTTCTATAAAACTCTCTACACAGTAGAAAACAATATAAGACCTGTCTCTACCTGGCCGATGTCCTTCCCACCCCTCCAGACTCAACAGTTAAATATCCTTCAGAGGGAAATCTCGGCTATAGAAATAAAGAATGCAGCTTTTGAAATGGGGGCTTTTAAAGCCCCAGGACCAGATGGCCTACAACCCCACTTCTTCCAAACACAGTGGAATAAAGTAGGTACAAAGATCTGTGAGCTACTCAACACAGCCTGGTCTAACCCTAACTCTCTTAGGGACCTGAATCAAACGCATATAATTTTAGTCCCGAAAGTAGAACAACCTACCTCCCTAAAAGACTTCAGACCGATTTCATTGTGTAATGTCAGCTTTAAGATCTTAAGCAAAGTTCTTGCAAACAGATTCAAAGGAGTTATGCCTTACCTGATCAAAGAGAACCAATGTAGCTTCATACGTGGACGTTAGAGCTGTGATAACATCATACTTGCGCAAGAGGCGATCCACACAATGAGAACTAAGAGGGGTGGAACAGGATCTATTGCTATAAAAGTAGATATGAAAAAAGCTTATGACAGGCTAGATTGGAACTTCCTAGAATTCACAATGAAAAGTCTTGGCCTATCAGATAATTTTGTCCACATCATAATGAAATGCATCTCCACAGCCTCGATGAGAGTCTTATGGAATGGGGTGGCAACAGAGAGCTTTCAACCATCTAGAGGAGTGAGATAGGGAGATCCCCTAAGCCCCTACCTATTCGTCCTGTGCATGGAAAGGCTGGGGCAACTGATTCAGCATGAGATTGAAGGGGGGAGATGGAAGCCGATGAAACTGAGTACAAGAGGACCAATCATCTCACATCTTTTCTTTGCTGATGATTTGATTCTGTTTGGAGAAGCGTCAACAGATCGGATGTTGGAAATAAGGAACATCATGCATTTCTTCTGTCAGGTTTCGGGCCATAAAATAAATTTGAACAAGTCAAAGGCTTTTGTCTCCCGAAATGTAAACTTTAATAGAGCTTACGAACTGAGCTAGATGGTTGGGATTGGCCTTACCCAAGACCTCAGAAAATATTTGGGTGTACCGATCCTACACAAAAGAGTAACCAAGACGATATTTGCTCCCTTAATTCAGAAGGTGAGATCAAGAATGGCAAACTGGAAAGGAAGCTTCCTGAGCCTGGCAGGGAGATCAGTACTCATCAATTCGGTTATCTCAACAATCCCCTCATACCAAATGCAAACAACACTACTCCCAAAAGGCATCCTAGCTGAATTGGAAAAAGTCACTAGAACCTTTTTCTGGAATCACGAAAATAGAGGTAGGAAACTTCATCTTTTGGCTTGGGACGTGATTAAAAAGAGTAAAGAAGAAGGTGGTCTTAGAATCAAAGATCTACATAGTCAAAACGTGGCTTTCATCATGAAACTATGCTGGGGAATTCTTACAAAACCCCAAGCAATGTGGGTCAAATGCTTGAAGGCGAAATATGATTGTGGGGAGAATAAGATGTCGGAAGTCATTCAAAAAAGAAACCAATGTGAAGTTTGGAGGGCGATAACACTAGTTTGGAAAGAGTTCCTGAAAGGTGTGGGATTCCAACTACAGAGTGGAGAAACAGCAAAAGCTTGGAGTGATTTGTGGAGTCCTCTGGAGCTTCCTTTAAAGTTCTATGCAAATAGGAACTTCCACCAAATAAATCCAGATGAACCAGTGAGGAACTTTGTGACAGATAATGGCCAATGGAATCTGATTAGATGGGGAGAATGTCTCCCTAATTGGGTGCTGGAGAAAATCAAAATGACTAGACCACCAACAGGGAGGGGCGAGGATAAGATATGATGGAGAAATGCCACAGATGGAAATTTCAGTGTTGGGACTGCATATAGGATGATCTATGAAAAGCATAATAGAAACATAAATCCTATTGGAAGCAAATTGGCACTGGGGAATTCCTGAAAGAGCACAAAGCTAGTTTTTTTGGTTCCGTTTGATGTCAAAATTTCCTCTTTACTGCAGCTCAATGAGCACTTTCTGGATGACTCTAATATCGGCTAACCATCCCAACTGCGAACATGTCGGGTCGAGTACACAACATAGCATACATCAGACCAGACTTTTTCATGTGGCAAGTTTTCCATGAGAGAATTCCTACGAATGGAACCAGAGCAAAACACCTAAATAACGAAACTGAGGAGTGCCCATTTGAGTGTGGTTGCAAAGAATCTATATTACATACACTGAGAGACTATGAGGCAGCAAAGAGAGTGTGGTTGCATATAATAACCCATTGTATTATGCTGTTTTCTTCTTCTGTGATTTGCAAGTATGGCTCAAATGGAACACCGAAAACAACCCAGCAAATGGAAGATTTTCTAGATGGCCGTGGAGTCGAATCTTTGGACAAGTCTGTTGGGCTATCTGGAAGAACAGATGTAAGAAAGCATTCGAGGAGATGACTACTCGACCAAAGGACCAAATGTTCAAGATCCTGAACCACCTAATGGAGGAGGTACAACAAGAAAAATTTTGCCACCAGATATACCAGGTTCCAAAGAGGAGCACCACACAACGTAATCCCCCACCTCTTGATTATGTCAGAGTTGATGTGGACGGGTCCAAATCAAGAGAAGGTGCGGCAACTTGTGGAGGTTTTATTAGTGACTATCGAGGTCATTGGAAGGGTGGATTTCAACGGAAGTTGGGTACCATGCCCTCAACAGTTGCGGAGATACACGCTATGCTAACTGGACTGCAACTTTGCAAGCAGATGGGGTATAGTAAAATAAAGCTATACACGGATTCGGCTGAGGCTCTTCACCTACTTCTGACCGATTGTGAGCCCTCACATCCTCTGAGGGAGACGGTACAAGCCTTGAGAAATTTGATATTTGATAAATGGGACATTGAAATCCTGCACTTATTCAGGGAAAATCTGGGATGTGCCGATAAGCTTGCTACGATGGCTCATCATATTGAGCAAGAGTATATATTTCTACAGGAT